AAAGTTAATATCCACTCTATGAAGATAGATGTGGAGAAGTTTAATGGCACAAATAATTTTGGTCTTTGGAGATATGAACTATTGAATGCGCTCAATGGACAAAATTTAGAAGATACTTTGGAGTTGGACGGGAAATCGGACGACATTGAAGAGAAGGTTTGGAAAAAGATAAATAGAATGACGTGTGGTGTGATTAGATCTTGTTTGACTCAAGATTTAAAATATGATGTGATCAATGAGACTGACTCAAGATTTAAAATATGATGTGATCAATGAGACTTCGGCTAAGAAGATTTGGGAGATCCTAGAGGGAAAGTATTTGACCAAGAGTGTAGAATGAGACTTCGGCTAAGAAGATTTGGGAGATCCTAGAGGGAAAGTATTTGACCAAGAGTGTAGAGAACCACTTGCATTTGAAGAGGAGGATTTATCGCTTGCAATTGAAGAAGAAGACCTCCATTGGTGATCACATGAAGCTTCTTACGGATTTGACGAATATAGATGTGATGATTGAAGATAAGGACAAGGCGTTATTGTTGTTGAGTTTCTTGCCTGACGAGGAATATGAGACCTTCGTTCTTACTCTTATTAATGGGAAGACATCTCTTTCTTATAGTGAGGTCATCGCTGCACTTATGAATTATCAGCTTCAAAAGAAGGATAAGAAGACTTCAGTTGAGCCGGTAGAGGGGGCATTGGTCGCAAGAGCAAAGAGTCCAAATCGTGGTAGGAGGTCGCAGTCTAGAGAGGCACATCTTAGAGTTCGTAGGAATCAGTGTGCTTTTTGTAAAGAGGATGGATATTGAAAAGCCGAATACCCAAAGTTGGTTGATCGAGCCAGGAAGAATAAGGGGAAAGCTATTCAAGCTTCAGAGGTGAATGTTATCAAGGCTAGTGGCAATAATTCTGATTCTGATTCTTCAAGCTACTCGTTATCTGCACTACCATCAGTTTGTGTTACCGACTCTACAAAGTAGATGTTGGATTCGGGTGCTTCTTACCATATTTGTCCTAGGAGGGATTGGTTCTCCAGCTTTCAGGGGTTGAAAAGAGGGGGGGTCGTGCTCATGGGTAATGATCATGAATGTTCTATTAGTGGTATCGGTACCGTTCGGATTAGGATGAGTGACGGAGTGATTCGGGAGTTGGTTGGAGTGAGGTTCGTTCATCAGTTGAAGAAGAACATCATTTCACTTGGAGTTTTGAAGGCAGTAGGCTATAGAGTAACATTGGTCGATTCACATTTGAAGGTCACATTAGGGTCCATGATTGTGATGAAGGGCATTAGGAGGAATAATTTGTATTATTTGATTGAGAGCATATTGTTTGATAGAGAGCTGACGACTTCTTTGGATTTGGCTAGACTGTGGTATTTGTTGAGGCTGGGTTGTTTGAATTGTTATGTCGTGCATGGTTTATTAAGGAGTGTTTTGACCTGCAGATTGAAGTCCTTTGAGCACATTGGTATGAGCAAGAAGGCCGATATGGAATTTGGCACTTTTATCTATCGATCAAGGGGTCTATTAGGTGGTGTTCAGTCAGGTAATTGGGGGTTTTTCAAGGAGGCATCATTGAGAGGTAATCAGTATTTGGTTTTCGTAGTTGGGGATTGTTCTAGGCATTAGTGGGTTGCAACCAGGTCTCGTTGGTGTGAAGTCCTAGAAGTCAATAATAATTGAAAGAAGTGTATTGGAAGAAAGGTAACCCGTCGTTCAAGCTTTGGTAGGGGTTCTTTCTTGCATTTGTGCCGAACTCATGGCAGTTTGAGACACTTCATTGATGTAGAGACATTGGGATGACGAGATGAGATGATAGTTTTGATGGATCGTTCCTTACTGGAGGGGGATCGGCGTTAGTTGTCGAGCATTGGTTTTGGTTTTGGAGCTTCGACATATTTGGGTCATCTTAGTCATAGATTGCTGACTGCTGTGTGTAGAGATTTTGGATCTGGTGGAGCTGCTTCTGATTTTGGGTTGCATAGGATATTTGGTTGCCCAGCATTTGATTACATCGAGGATGTTAGATTTGATCTGATTGCACGTTTGAGATTCAGATGTTCGTTTGATTATCAGTTAGGAGCTTTTGATTTTGTTCTGAGCATGTATGTCACATTTGATTCTCGGCAGGTGGAGAGTGTTGATCAGATTATTGGGATATCGCAGTGGGTGGAGGGTGATGCTACTTCACATTGGGTGGAGATTACTCTACATACTCCAGATCATACTGCATCGTTTGGGATTCTAGCTGAAATGACACTGTTTGGAGATCATTTGGATTTGGATGCAGATGATGAGTTGGTTTTGGATTCGAGTGCAGCTGGTGGACATATTTTGGATACGGACATTAGTTCACCTCAGGTGGAGGTGTTTGATTTGTTTTAGTTTGGGGCCATTGAGCGCTATCAGTTGCAGATCCGTTGGTGATATTGGTGAAGAGTTGTAAACTTTTCTATTTGATTGAGGGTCTTTGGAGGCCGTTTGGGTGAACTACGTGAAGACTTGATTCATTGGGTAAGAAGATATGTAGGCAGTCATTTATGATGCAGCCGGTTTGGTGAGTTGATACCGACATTTGGAGTTTGTTCGCATTCTCGTTTGGGTTCTCGACTTGTTGTGGATTGAGTCCGTTGTCGTGGATTTGTTCCACTTCATACTGGACGCAACAAGTGAGATGTTTGTTTGGTATTGGTGTCGGGTTAGTTTTGGGAAAACTTCGCCGTGGTGGAGAATTGTTAGATAGCAGGTTCTTAATATGTTTTCTAATTTATTTTGGTAACAGGTTATTGAGATTCCTAATCTGTTTTGGTAACATGTTATTAGGATTCCTAATCTGCTTTGTTTTTTGTTTTAGGATTCCTAGTATGTTTATGATTTTAGGATTTCTATATATATGGAAGAATTGGAAGAGAGAATTGAGAAAAAAATTAAGGATATTTGGAGCACAGAAAAGAGGTATTTTCTGAGCTATTGGTTAAGGTTTTGTTTGGAGAGAATTAGAGATTTGTTGGTGAGATTAATTGGTGAGTTTGAGTGATTTGTAATATGAGTTTGTACTCTTCTTCTCTATTAGTGAAAAACTCTATTCCCTTCTTGCCTCGTGGACGTAGGTAACTTGCCGAACCACGTTAAAATTGGTTGTTTGTGTTTGTGGCATTGATTTGGTTCGTTTGGCCTTCTCTCGACGTCCGTTTGATTTGATTTCTCGTAGCACGTTGGTTTGGTTATTTGGCTTCCGCAGCGCTCAACATGAACAACAGGAAGTGACCCCGGCCTCTTCTAGTTTTTTTGCCCTTTTGAAGTAATTCCAATAACCTTTCTTTTAACTTTTCATTAAAACCACATAAATTAAATTATAGCTTGATCAATCTAATTGTCCGGCACAACCAATTCATTCCAAAATTCAATATACACAGTGATGATGGAAATCAAAAGTACGGTTTAAATATACTTCAAAACGAGAGCTTGTCATGTGATTACGGTCTACATCTAAACGGATAATTTGCTAAAATAGTACTTAATTCTTTTTCATACTAAAGATAAAAGGCCATAATCTGATTTTAAAGCTAACATTCTTTCTTACTCTTGCTTTCATCACTAAGCCAGCTGGGCCTCACTAACATAGTAACATGTTTGATTGCGTGTGGACCATCATCATTATTACATCCTCAGATTCATCATCGATTACGACCACGTCCTCAGGAGGTCTACCTGTTGCTTGATCCTATCCATTTCTTTGGAAAAAATACTCGCATAGAATCATGTCATATAGTTTTCTGGAAAAAAATAATAAAATAAAATAAAATCACATCGTATAGAGAGAGGAAGAAGGACACTGCGTTTATTTTAGTGCTAAATATCAGAACCCCCCCCCCCCCACACCCCAACTTAGGTGTAATCAGAAAACCCCTCACGATAAAACCCCTCTAATTTAGGGGGCTTTTATGATCAAAGTTAAGAGATTTTCTGATAAAATCTCAAAGTTAAAAGGAAAGTTTTGCGATAATCTCGATCCTCAAAAGGGGATGTGTAGATATTTTGAAAGTTAACCGGGTTGTCCTATGATTGTCCAAAGTTCAAGAGGGTTTTCTCATATTTACCCTTTTATTATTATCAGTTTTAAATCAGTATAAACAGTTAAAGATTGATACGAACAAAATACTTAATCTCAATTCTGCTTACATGATTTGTTTTGGAGAGGGTCCCCTGCATGATTTTGTTCCCCCAGTTTCTTTATTAAAGCATCTGATGGGCTCAATGCGACACAAGGTGCACAACTCATTGAATAGTTTAGTAGTCCAAACAGTACCGCATCCGGTCCTTTCGGGTCCACACCATGATGCTGGGCTGTGGGCCCATAAAACACCAGCCTGTCTGCTCGTGCCATGCTCGTGCATGAGACCTGGCATATATTCACCAAAGAGAATTTTTTTTTAAAAAAATTGACCTCATTTACTTTTAATTATAAAAATCTATTAATTTTGAGTTAATTACGATACCAATTAGTCGGAATTATCCACCCGACTAATTAGTAACCTAATTAGCAGCCGTAAACCTTTCCCGCTCATTGATCCCGTTTGTAATTAGGTTACTAATTAGTTGGAATTAACAACACCGACTAATTAGTATCGTAATTAACTCAAAGCGAATAGATTTCTATAATTAAAAATGGATTAGGTCTACTTCTTAAAAAAAAAAATTGTCAAGATGATTTTGAAAATTTCTTCTATATTCATCCCCTTGGAATATGTAACGTATACTGTTCTTATTACTAACAATAAATATTTGGCTATTCCTTGTTATTCAGCCCCCCGGGCCCCCCACCCCGCCACTATAAATTTGCTACTTCAGCGCTCAGCTTTCTCTCTCCTGACCCTACATTCTTGTTCTCGATTCCAAGGTTGTCCCTAGAGCTCTCATCTGTTTTTTTTTTGTATTTTCTAAGTGGCTAATAATGCCACATTTCCTCCTTGATTATCTCTCTCTCTCTTTTTTCCTTCAAAAATTCAAATGGGTTTTCTAGATTTGAGATAATATTTCTGTTGGGTATTTGACATAGTTAAGATCTCTTGAAGATTTTATCTTCTGGGTCAAAATTGTCTATATATAATTTCCTTTTTTCTGACTTAAAAGGAACAACAAAAAAGCAAGTTGTCCAACTTTGGGAAAATCGAAAAGTTGTTTTTTTCTTTGTCGAGAGACGACGGTCACTTTTGCTTTAGTGAATTTATTTGTTTCACGTTCTTAAATCCTCAACTTGAATGATGGTGTGTGTTCTTTTTTTGGCAGTATATAGTGTTTTTTTTCTTTTGGTGAAGTATTTTTGATTTGTATTGAACTAATTCCTGTAGTTGACGATGTCGAAGACTGGAGCTTTAGATCTTGCATCTGGGCTTGGAGGAAAGATCAACAAGAAGGAGGTTGAATCTGCTGTGGAACAGTAATTTTTTTCCCCTCGAAGCTTGTTTTAATTGAACTTTTTTAGTAGTTAAATATTGCTTGGTTTCTGTGACTCTTGACAGTGAGTCTATGATCTGTCATCTCTTTTTCGGATCTTTGTTTATTTTACTTATTTGAGCTGTAAATTAATAATCAATAATCAGAGAGAGTATTTAATACCTGGGACTTAGTAAAAAATATTTTGTTTTTCATTGTTGAATCTATAAGAAAAGAATGATGGTTGTGTTTTGATTTTTGTCAATGGTGGAATATGATGTTTAGGATTCTTATTTTTTAAATTAAAAGAATTATATGAGTTTAAACTAAAAAAGATCTGATTTTTATCTCAAGCAAAGTAAATTGGATGTGGAATTATTGCAAAGATCTTGTAGTTTTGAATCAATTAACTTTTTTTTTTTATGTTCATTTGCCTAGGTATGAGAAGTACCATGTTTACCATGGTGGGGATGAGGAAACAAGGAAAACTAATTACAGCGATATGGTAAGGCATTTAGTCGTCTTTTCTATTCTCTGTTTTTTTTTCCTTCAAATAGATATTTGATGATTTCTCTTCTTCTTCCATTCATTATTTATTAGATCTGTTTATGTATTCTTTATCCCTAGTCATCTTCATCTGATTTGAACGAACTTGCGAGATAGCAGAGTTCTGAATCGACTGCTTTATTAGGTGCTGATGTTGATTACTGGGTCCTGCATTTGAGTTTGACTGCATGAGTAATCAATGTGACTTAAGAAACTTTTCTGTCTGGTAGATGGTTACAGTTAATGAGTCAGATTCTACAGAGAAAGCCCTCTTACTCAAATTCGGCAACCATAATCAGGCCAATATGAATTTTACTGGGCTTTTATTGCCAAGCTGATCCGATTGTCTCTTCGCTCAAATTCACCAATCTAAATTTACCAATAGTAATCAACCTAATATGAGTTTCACTGAGCTTTTTGTGCCAAGCTGATCTTAGTGTGAGCTCTGTACTAAGAGATTCAAAGCTTTTTTTTTTCTCGAACTGATCTAATTCTAAGCATTGTACTCAAGGGGATCAATGGTGCTTTATTATATCCAGTACTCTTGAGCTAAACTAATTTAAGTCTGAGCATTTCTCAAGGGTGTCTGTCACTGAATTGAATGGAAATAGATGCCAAAGCGAGATGGGTTACCAGTGGGATGGGCTTTGATATGAGTAGAATGGAAGGAGAAGGTGAATTTAAGTTAATTGGGTTCAACACTTGACAGCTTAAAGAGGACAAAAGTTTAGGCTAGTCTGATTCGTATATTTGCAGTTACGTTATTTGATTATTTGAAGATCGTGGTAGTTTAACTCTATGCTTCACGTAGTTTCAGTTTCTATTTGAGAAAGTCCAACTTGGAGTCCTTGCACATGTGGAGTATATTTGCCCATATTACAGCCTCATAGAGCGGCTTTTATTGTACACTTCCCTCGTTATTGTTGAGTCTGTAAATAATTCATTTCTGGTGTCAATGTGTTTAATATAAATTCCAAATGCAAGTGTCATTTCGTTTGTGCTATCATTTATGACAAATTTGTAAAACAAGCAAACAAACAACAATAACACAACAACAATAAAGCCTTGTTCCAAATTTTTGGGTCAGTTACATGAATCATATTCCTCCATTCATTATGACAAGTATGTAAAAAAGAAAATTTAAAAATGTAACATTTTATCAGGCAAGATTGACAAGTGATTTAATGCTGTCTGTTAATGCCTAACAGAAAATAGGACCCCATTGTTTCACTGTGACATCTTATAAGCAGATAACGTATTCTCCTGGAATCACTTTGTTAAATTTCTCTTAGGTCTTACTAAGCTCCTGCTTATATGTGCACTAACAACCTCTAGTTGATCATTGAGCCACATTTACTAGACAATTTGATTTCTTGTTGTTGGACATATATGATTGTAATTTTTTTCCTTTCTAGGGCACTTTCAGCTTTGATCTTTGGCCCACTTACCAGACATTAATTTAGTGTTATTGGCCAAATGTGGTTGTCTGTGTACACTTTGCACATAAAACTTAGTTGAATGCACATAAAGTCATGAGTTTGGCTTAACAGTTAAAGCATTATGATAAAGCTACTGTAAATGTTAGTTAAAGACAGCCAAAGTTAATTGTATGCTTGACGAACTTGTGTACTTGTGAAACAAACGCTCAATGCAGAAGCTTATATGCATTCAACTTTTATTCTTTGTGTCTGACAGCTTCTGATTCTGTATAAAGAGATTGCTTTCTTACATATGATTGAGTACTACGCATTTAATACAATCTAATGAGTGATATTATAGTTTCGGTAATGCTTTGTGAAGCTTTTATTTCTCCATTCCTTGTAAACTTGTACTCATCGATTGTGTTTGTTGTTGCTCACAAATCATTTTCGATTAGGCAAGAATATTTGCAATTAGTTTGATCATATAAATAGTTATGGCCAGACAATCCCCTTTTTGACATCATTTCTGTACATTGTCATTAGACAGTGAACTGCTAAGGAACACAAAACAATTAATTTTTTATTTTTATCCTCCAGTGCTAACCCTGTTGAGTGGCAGTTTAGCAGTAAACAATAATTGGTGTATTTCGTACCCTTGTAATTTATTATTGCATGATAAGCGTGACCGACTCTGCTTCATTTATGTTGTATCTTCAGGTAAATAAATACTATGATCTTGCTACTAGCTTCTATGAATTTGGCTGGGGAGAGTCCTTTCACTTCGCTCCCAGGTTAGCATGAACTTATAGCTGAATAGGAATTATAGTGTTTCATAAGTTTCTTCTTATTGTTGCATTATTTTGCGTTGCTTATGCTAACAATAATGAATTTACTAATGCTCCAATTCTTTTTTAGATGGAAGGGGGAGTCCTTACGTGAAAGCATCAAGCGTCATGAACACTTCCTGGCACTCCAACTAGGATTGAAAAGTGGAATGAAGGTTTACCCTTTCTATTGCTTATGAGAATGATGATTATACTTATAGTTTTTCATCGAATAATGTGTATTTTCTTTTCTTTTTCTTTTTTTTAATTGTAGGTATTGGACGTGGGTTGTGGAATTGGCGGACCATTAAGAGAAATAGCTAGGTTTAGGTAATGTTCTTCCTGTTAACTGTTTTCCATCCTCTGAATCATTTGGGCTTTTCCTATTGATTCTTTGTACATCACCTTTTATCTATACTAAACATTGTGCTATCGTATTATACTCATTGCGTATTGAATTTAACACCTTACATGACATAACTACTGAGGAAGCTGAATCCTAGGAAAGCTGATTGTTGTGTACTAAAGCCACCTTTTTCATCAAGCTTGAAAACAGAAAAATTGTCTTTGCTCAGTCTTCATAAGCTTCTCATACCCAGCTACACTTTATCGTTTCATCTTGGAGAACGGTTCAAGTACTATTTTTCCCCGTAACTTGTTTAATCAAAATCAACTGAGAGCCATGCCGTGGCAGTTTTGTTTTCTTTTTTTGTTTTTCCTTTTTCAGAGCTTAATTTCCTTGGGTAATAATTTTCTGTTATAGCATAGTACATATCTTGCTTTTCAAGGGCATGAACCACTTACTTTGAAGTTGTCTGAAGATTAAAACATTTTTTGAAATATGTTGCATGCTTTGTAGATGATACTTGAAGTAATCATATCTGCTATATCATGCATGCTACATTATTGGAAGAAAAATGCATTAAACAAACTATGCTACATTATTGGAAGATAAAATATATTTTGGGGCTATTTTACCTGTGAATGTCTTACAGTGTTCTTTCGTAGAAACTCTATGTCCTGTTTCTTTTTGTGTTACTTCCATTTTGTTTTGTAATTATTACATTTGATGGTATATATGTTTTTGTTTAACTCTGGATTATTATTTTATGACTTTGGGCTCAACTAAGGTAAAAGTTAACCTGACGAAATGCATATAAACCTTGCAGTTCTACATCCATTACTGGGCTGAACAACAATGAGTACCAGATATCTAGGGGAGTGGTTAGTGCATATTCTTTTTGATTCATCCAATTTGAGTATTAACTCTGATATTCTAGCTAGACTAAGAAGTCTGCCTTTCTTTTTTACATCTATAACAAGGCAGAGTAATTAAATTTTGGAGAAAACATACTAATGAGCATCAACATACAGGAGCTAAACAAGGAATCGGGATTGGCTGAAAATTGTAATTTTGTTAAGGTACCGTCTTTTTTCCTCCTCATTGGCATCTGATTATATCGCATTGCCATTATGTAGCTGCTTATATAGCCAAAAAGTAATCACAAAATCAGTTGAAAGTGAAAAGTAATTACATAATTTATAATGTTTGAGCCTAACTGATCTTTTACATCTGCACGTATGCAGGCTGATTTCATGAAAATGCCATTCACAGATAGTACCTTCGATGCAATTTATGCAATTGAAGCAACATGTCATGCCCCTGATGCGGTTTGGACACACTCTTAACTTGAAATTATATATTTCTGTTCAAGTGAAAATATGTAAATCTTATTTTGTCAAATGATACAGCTAGGCTGCTACAAGGAGATTTACAGAGTGTTGAAGCCTGGTCAATGTTTTGCTGCCTATGAGTGGTGCATGACCGACCATTTTAACCCTGAAAATGAAGTACACCAGAAGATTAAAGCTGAAATTGAGCTTGGTAATGGCCTCCCTGATGTAAGATCAACAAGACAATGCCTTGAGGCCCTGAAACTTGCTGGATTCGAGGTAACAAATCCTGCTGATTTAGAACCTATCATTTTATGCAACTATTCTCATATAATTTGATAAATAATGATGATTCCTTAAAGGTTATATGGGAGAAGGACCTCGCTGTAGATTCACCTCTGCCATGGTATTTGCCATTGGACACTAGTGTTATCTCCATAACTAGCTTTCGATTGACATCTTTCGGAAGGTTTTTAACCAAATCCATGGTAAGGAATAATGTCGAAAGTAGTACCTTCTGTTTCTTTTGATCGTTTTTCTATTATAGCTGCAGGTTTATACTGGTTAATTCATTACTTTTCTGTTTGCAGGTCAAAGCACTAGAGTTTGTCCGTCTCGCCCCAGCAGGAAGCGATAGAGTTTCCTCATTTCTCGAGAAGGCAGCTGAAGGGCTTGTTGAAGGTGGAAGGTAAGAAATAATTGTGTGGTTATTGTAGGGCTCCTTATATAAGTAGAACCCCTTCACTACAGGGGTGAGCCACTTATAACCCATTTAAAAAAAAATACTAGCGCTTGAGACTATCGGATGTCCAACAGACTCCCAAATGGAGAGCTCTCTCTGTTTTCTTTATCCCTTACAAAGGTGTCGAATGACATAATTGTGTTGCAAGAGACCCCCTATTCCTTTACATATGTTGAGCACACATCCTTTAATGGTGTATATACAGAAAAACGAAGAGAGAACTCGGGGGTCTTAGCGCTAGTAAAAAGTTTTAATAGTAACCAATGGCTAATCTCCTTTAGTACAGGGAGTGTATGTGCAATTAATCCTTGTTTATACGGTGCCCTTCTCGTTTTGTTGCCTTCAACCTTGGAATAACATGGCATATAAATTTGCAGGAAGGAGATATTTACCCCAATGTACTTCTTCTTGGTCCGAAAGCCACACTCAGCCTCTTGAGATTCATGAGTGGTCAGTTATTAGCTGCAGAAGCCTCGGGGTTTCTGTTCGCCTGGGTGTAGGATTATGTTTTAACGAAAAATTGTCAACTTTTAAGCTTTATTTTTTAATTTTTTTAATTTAAACATGATTCAATTTCTCTGTCAAAACTTGGTTCTGAGTGAATGCGGGATGGCTTTTTGTGACCTTGATGTATTATCATCTCTATCAGGAAAAAAACAAAGCAAAGCCAGCTGTATGTTTTATGGGAGCGTTAGAACTGGACTGGTACTGTTGACTGTTGAAAGTTCTATGATTATATTAGTTCTCCAACTAATACATTTGTTCATAGTGGCTAAATCACTGTTATCAGTTTGTTATTCCAAGTTTTGTGAAACGGATTCATTTCTGCTAGTTTAGGATTAAGAGAGCGGCAGAGGTCGAACCATTGGCAGCTTCTTTGTAGTGGCTCATTGTCTCGAGAGGGACATAATGTCCGTGATCGTAATCAGCATGCATCTTTTCTGTCATCTTCTTTGTTTAATCCTACCTAATATACTTGCATCATAGATGTCATTTTAATCAAATATCTCTCTCACGTCCGATGTTCAAACAAATATCAACAAAGACGAGTATTAATACGATAATATGTTGTAGTTGTTTCCGCACAATATTCCTTTCACATCCACACTAATTTTTAGTACGTTCACCTGAAGCATTGCTTGTTTAGTTGATTAACAAATATCACCCGTTCGGTTGGTGAAAAGCGAAGCAAAAAGTAGAGGAATATTTTTCCCCCTTACCTGAAAACAGCTTTCAGCGTCAAATTTGGGGTGAAAAGTGAACAGAATTGTTTGTGTTATGGAATTAACACCATCTAGCTCTTCCGGAGAAAGGTGAAGTATATATATATATAGAGAGAGAGAGAGAGAGAGAGAGAGAGAGAGAAATATGGGTATGCTTGGTACCAAGAACAAATTTTGTGCTTGATAATAAGGTGGTACAATCCCCTCCACTCATTCAAAAGGTGAATATGATCCATCATTTGAATGAGTGGATAGGATTGCGTCACCTCACTACTAAACATAATTTTTTGTGTTTGGTACCAAGCATACTCATATTTCTTATATATATATATATATGGGTATGCTTGGTAGTAAGGTGATACAATCCCCTCCACTCATTCAAATGGTGAATATGATCCCTCATTTGAATGAGTGGATGAGATTGTATCACCTCAATACTAAGCACAACTTTTTATGTTTGGTACCAAGCATACTCATATTTCTCATATATATATATGAGAAATATGGAGAACCTTGGTACCAAGTTGCTTAAAGCAACTTGGTAGTGATGTGGCCTAATCTTGCCCCTACACCACACCTCGAAGATAGAGCCTCAACCACCCTTCACCAACTCCAATATAGATGTATGGACAAGATTAGGCCACATCACTACCAAGTTGTTTGGAGCAACTTGGTACCAAGTTTCTCCATTTTTCTCTCTCTCTCTCTCTCTCTATATATATATATATATATATATATATATATATATATATATATATATATGGGAGAAGTGTTCCTAAGATGACGTCTTAGATAATCATCTAAGGACACGGCCTAAAATCACATGATTGAGCTACATTGTGGATGATCCGTTCTGTTAAACTTGATCTACATATTCTAAAACCCAAACAAAGTTTGGGATGAACCCGTCATCGTTTGACCTTTCATCAACTCATATCAATTTTAATGGTTTCGAATGAATAAAACTTTTCACATGGCTTGACGGAGGGTTAAACGATGATAGGTTCACCCCAAACTTGGTGTGTTGGAGTTTTAGAATATGTAGATCAAGTTTGACTGAGCGGATCATCCACAATGTAGCTCAATCATGTGATTTTAGTTCTTTCCCATTTTGGTCACCTTCATTCACTTTCCGAAAACATATCCTTAACTACGATAGTACCCAACCACAATACCAGACTCAAATTATCTAATTATGTGTAGGACCTGGCAATTGGAACGTTATGAAAACAATTGTTTCAGTTTTTACTAGCTAAAGCATATCCAAGTGCTAAAGCAATTTACATATAACCAATAATCAGTGCTCCTTTTGCTTGAATCGCAATAAATGCCTTTCTTCGGTAATCTGATTTCAAAATCATTTGCAGTTGAGCTAACAAAACTCCCTCATAATTTCATGTGGCCAAGCCCGCCTTTGAAAGAACCATAGAGAGGTCTTGACCTTCTGAAGCTGAATATATCTTTGATTTGATACCTCCCCGGTTCATCTGCTTCATTGATTGTCTTCTTGTATTCCGCTGAATGCACTCCACCATAGACTTGAACGCTGAGAGTCTTTCTTTGAGGTGAATCTACTTTGATATAGTAATTGAAGAAATCCACCAGTTCTTCCTTCTTCAGATCACGCAGAGCTGCAACCTATAATTTCTTCCATAGATAAGTCTCTTTATGTTGAAATATAAAACATGGAGGCTTGAAAAATGTGAAAATTATTCTCTGAAATAGTAGTGATAGTATAGACTTCAAAACACAGCACTTACCTCAGAATCTCTTCTGTCAAATTTTAGAGTACCATCAGAAATTTCTCCCCAGTAGAAGGCTGCTTCGTCCCTCAAATTCTTATGTTTCTCGAGTTTCATATCAATCAGTGCATTGACATTGCTCTGCAAGCCGCATTGACATAGTTTTAAAAGTGAGTATGCATCTCTTGATTAATTATGAACTTCATTTAATTTTTGAGAAGCCAAATGTTAAAAGGAAAAACTAGTTTGACCTTCATCAATAGATAAGATTCGAAGATGCAAAGATCGCAATGTTGATGTCAATGGAACAACCATTAGTCACCTCATGCAAAGATACCCAACATATGAAAGAGAGATTTAATGCTAGGGTCTAGTTAAAAACTAATTAAAATCGAATGCATACACAACTCGAATTTCTACACAGAAAAGAAGGTTTCTAACACTCTGCATGTGGATTCTTTGAATTCACTTTTTTGGGAGCATCAGTTTAGTGCAGACTCTGTATGTATAAGTATAAATAGGGTACCTGCATCATTGTGGACATGTTGGATCTTCTAAACTTATTTTATAGGAATTCACTCAAATATAGGCAGCAGTCTAGAAGCATGTATAGAATTTGTTAATGAGGCCAAATATGTTTTACAAATTTGAACATCATCACTTACATGGTGGACAGGAGTAATTTCCGTATTTCTAAAAGCAATGCTGCAATAGTATTCGTTTTACCCTTGTATTACCAATTATCAAATAGTAAAGACTAGTATTAATAATCATATAAATGAACAAAGATTATCAGAAGCCAGGAGAAACCAACCTTATATTCTTCTTCACTCATTTCATAGAGTTTACCCTCAAATAGCTTTAAGAAAGCTCCAACTCTAACATCAAGTTCCGCCGGATCCTGTGAAGTCATGAGAACAAGAAATTTAGAAGAGAAAAATAATTAAGGTAGCAAAACATCTCGTCTTTCTGTACCTTCACTGTTGACTGTATAATAAATTGAGCTCCGCGAACACCAGAATCATTCCTGTGTACAACAACAACAACAACAACAACAGGAATCACTCCTTTATTCCTGTGTAGCAGGCATAATATAACTTAATGGAAAATCATGTTCACCTTACGCCTTAAGGGCGGAAAGAAAAGTAATCCTAATTAAAGTCCAAAAGAAAAATATCCCAATTACCTCTTCATAAGCACGGTTATATATCCCAGCTGCTCTACAGAACGTAGCTGGTGAAAGGCTGGTTGCTTCGCAACGAGAGCAAACAACTGAAGTTTGACATCTAACTTTATATCATCTTGATGAACCTGCTCAAGATGTCAGACAATGAAAACCATGAGATTTAGCCAATAATGGCTTTTAATAAAAGAATAAAACAGAAAATATAATCTGGATAATAAAAGTTGCATAATTGCAGCCACAGTTGGTCATGACTTCCTTCACAATTCTTGTCTGCCAAGAAAGGGAAGAGACTGTTTCAGCACAATTAACTGTTTAACTGCTTGTTACTTGTTAGACCGTAAGCTTTTGTTATGTCATAATGTAATATACAAAAGACTTATTAGATACGCATAAACTAGTCGCTTCCTAGTTTAGTTATTCTTTGTTTTCCCAGGAGCTAGAGACTCCAGTTCGTAAAAAAACGAAAACAAAATTCTTTGCTTTGTTGCAGCTGTAACATAGGCTGAGGAGCAAGACAGATGTAGGGACTGCAAGAGCTCCACATCTTATGCTCTTTTACTTCTTCAATAAAGGAGTTGCTGTGTGACTAAAGCATACCAAATAATTTACATCTACTTAAAGCTCTACAAGCCACAACTTTAATGCATGTATCATTGCCACAAGTAACATCAACTCTTAGCATCTAGCCTCTTAACCTTCAGGATAAAGGAACCATCAGACTCGTGTGTCTTTAAAAATGTCAGGACTGGCTGCATGAAACTTTGGAAACTAGTATCACTGTCCATGATATTATGTTACTAATCCATTTTCTCCACAAACAAAACTAGCTATTAAGAAATAATGTAACTCTTTCAGTAAGTTCTTATTGCTAGAGAAAACCTCTAAATTCTTTTCACCTATATTTCCCAAGTAATAAGGAATTGATATGTTCCAAAAAGAGTATTAAATTGTCTTGATCTCTTAGAAAGTGACATCATCCAATATACATTTTGTTTCTCCAGTATCCTTGCTGAATAGACACTGCACTTAGGCAAGAACATGCATCGACTAATTGCCACAATATGGAGGAAAAGATTACAAGACTAACTGACTCAACCTTGGGAATGAGAAACAAATAAAATAAAGGTCTATTGCATTTTGAAAAAAAAATCTCTTGTTGCTGGAGTGATGCCTTACTATCCCACAGAAACCTCAACTGCTAGTCCAATAAACACCATCAGGACCAGGTGCACTATCCTTGATGTAGAAGAAAGAGCCAACTAAAATTCCCATCATATGGATTCCTCAAACACCTCATTGTGTCCTTCTCTTGGGCCTCACATATAGAATTTGAGATATAAAGAAATTGTTCGATAGCAAAGAACAAATGAGAAATTTAATAGCGCCAATAATGATCCTTCTATATTTACTTGAATATGATACCCAGGACCATTGTATTTCTTTCCACTCCATCAACCTAATTGCTTCCGAAAGAATACTTATTGAACAGTCATGTGCTTCCTTTACCTCAAGCAGCAACATGCTCTTCTTCAAAAATATTAGGTCAGTTGCTTCCAGCTACTAGAAGTTCATGTTTCGAGTTTTTTTTATACTATTAATCAATTGAACAGAAATTTCTTATACCAAAATTCCGACTAAAATTTCCTAAACATATTTCAATAAAGGTAGTAGACAAGGATAAAGTGACAATGCAAGAATCTAATTATTCTTATTCATTATATGTAGTAGTTCAAATTTCTTAAGCTTATATTAATGTAGAATAATGCATAGGACTATAGGAGTACCTGAATATAGTGGACAAGGGAAGAATTCTCATCTTTCTGATTTAGGCCCTCAACTGGATAATGGTAAATAACACCTTTGTCAAGCTTGACTACTCTATTTGTTAAATGCTGAGATGGAAACAAAGGTTTGGATGTAGGCTGGGGACCCCTGAATAGGACATCTTCTACGTGTTGGACTACTGATTCTGCTTCTGCTGGCTCAATGTTTCCTACAGGCAATCACAAACAATTAACATGCATATTCTGAAATAGTAATTGCATAAGGAAGACAAATTGAAAAGGTAAAGGAAATAACCTGCCACTAAACACTCCAAAAATGCTTTTGAAAGTAAAATAGGAGCGAACTTTGCAAGATGATCTGCTTCAAGATAAGGAAGCACATCAAGCTCCTCGCTCCATGGCCATGTATGATCCTCTAGTAACAGTGTGCAATAGTACATAGCTTGCTGATATGGCTGTTGAAACTTAAAGTTCTGGTACTCCTTTATGACTGCTTCCTGATGGACATAGTAACTGAACATCATTAACCACTAATATGTACGAAACAAGAAAATCAATGATATCAATCTTTAATGCCTCTGCCAATTAGTTGTTTTGATTTCTCGAGCAAAATTTGCAAGGAAAAACTTAACTAGCTAGGGTGTGTCTATGATACTGTTTGATGAGAACTTAAAACACAAAGCTTGCACAGAAAACAACATCTAGGATGTATCTCCTCATGATAGTCGAGGAACCATTAAACATTATTGATAAGCATATACTAGTAACATAATAGGTTGGATAACTCTTTTCTGTGTCTAAATTAAAAGATTCTGGAATGCTACCAGAAGACTACGCAAAGTTCAACAAATAACAGAATCAACAAGTTAATTACTAAGAAGATATAAAGAAAAACAGAACTATAGCATGGTTATCTTCAATTTACAATAAAAATGACTTCAAAGTATATCTTTATTAGTTTCATTACCCACCTAAATATTATCACTTGTTTTATTTTCTTTGTTAATCACTTGTATTATTTAGCTAGAGATAAAGAACCTGCAGTTTTTTTTCTGGGTTCTGAAACACCGTAATAATTGGTGTTGAGATTGGAATATTCATCTTGTTTAATCTGTTAAGACATGCTTCTTTTTTTCTCTGCTGTTTTGGTTTGTTTTTTGACTCTTCACTGTCGGTATTCTTATGATGCTACTATTTGGAGCTTTTAGTTCTTGATGTAAAGTTACCTGGCAGTGTATTTTTCCTCTTAGGTCACGATTTTCTGCTTGTTGTTCATGATAAAATATTTATCTAAGAATAAACAGTAAAAATTCCTATTTATATTAGACAAGAAATTCTTCATCAACCACTAGTCACATAAGGTAAATATTACCATATCTTCTTATCAAAATTATACTCGGAAGACAATGTAAGCATATTGTGTCAGATACAACCAGAAAACATGAGGGCAACCATGGAAAGAACAAACATTTAGATACCTGAGTATTTAAGTTTTTTTTCTTTTAACAAATAAAGACAAATACCATCTGGTTCAAAAATTAATCCAGTACAAAACAAAAGAAAAGGCCAATTAGTTACCTTGATCACTGCAAATCTGTCAGGTTTAACTTCAAACTGATGAAGTTTAAGAACAATTGTTTCTAATAGGATTCTCATTTTGTGATTATATCCAACGACAATCACCTACAAAGAAGCTCATGGTTAGTACCCTGAGAATATTTTGAACTACATACAGAAAACAACAGATATATTAGAAATAGGAAATATGGTAATCAAGTAAATATGTTCCTGAACCACTCATCTTTCTATATGACCAAGTGCCATCTAACAGAAGGAAAGAGATAAAGATACAAAATTTGTTTTCCCAAATAATGAAGACTTTTATTGCCAATTTATTAGAGCAAGTTTTAGTGAGCCTGTATACAAATATATATAAACTTGGAAAGTTATCAGTGGCAAGCTGGTATAATGGCTACTTAGACTCAGGATTTTACACATCAAATAGTAGAAGACTAGCACCATGGCTTCACATTTGAAAATACTAAAAAAGAAATAAAAAAGAATAGAAAGAAAGAAAGAAAGAAAAACTCTACTTTCAGCATAACTGAAAGAAAGAAAGAAAGAAAAACTCTACTTTCAGCACAACTCTACCTTCAGCATTTAGTTCTCTTGATTAATAGTATGTTGAAATTCTACATATGTGGATGTATCAGGATAAGGGGCAAAATGGAACAATGACAATTTTGATTACCACAAGAAACTTCCTTCATTTCAGAAAATCATCATATAACATCGCTTCAATCAATTACATAACTTCTAAGCAATATTTCCTGCAGCTTCCATTCAGATTTTTCACTAGCTAACAATGCATAAGAGCATCTCCAACAGCTTCCCCATTTTATTGGTATTCTCATTTTTGAAGAATTTTAGCCTTTTTTTGGTCCAACAGATTCCCCATCTCATTCCCCAAAATAGGGATGGAGGGGAAAAAATAGGGAGCCTCCCCAAATCTGTAGCATTCTGCAAATTTTTGGGGAAACTCTGTTTCACGTTCTTCAATGCTCAACGACTCAAAAAACGACTCAACGATTCGATCTCCTCGAGCTCGAGCGTTCGCCGCAGATTCCTCCAACTTCTTGATTCTCGTCCCTCACCTCAAGATCTAGGGTTTCCATCCGTCGATCTCCTCGAGCTCGAGCGTTCGCCGCGGGTTCCCATCTTCGACGGGCTTCATTCTCCATTGGATTTCAGGTAAAGTTCTTCTCTCAATTTCAATTTTTGATTGTAATAGACCATTGAATCTTTATTTTGGGGATGATCAAGAATCCTAGTCCTCTGATCTGGGGAAAACAAGTTTCCCTAATTTGGGAATCGATTGCGCTAATTTAACTAAGGGTTTTGAAACTAGAATGGGATTTTGCCAAAATTTATGCTGGGGAGAAATATTTTTAGTTTGTAGCAGGTAATCCCTCACTAGACGTGTACATAGAATACACTCATCCAAGGATAACAGGCTTTGTATTTAGATCAACACCCAACACAGTTAGTTTGTAGCAGGTAATCCCTCACTAGACGTGTACATAGAATCCAATTTGAAGAGAAAAGTTAGCGGGAACACTAAAATGTGAAAATCATTATCAATGACATGGGAAGAGTTTAATATCTGGATGATAATTTGCTTAGTACAATAATATCTTGTTGAGCATGACACAAACACATTAGATGAGGCACAGGCATGAACATTAATATGCATCAGGTTAACAGGTTGACACAATGACAAATAGCTGGATCTTGTTATCAATAATATCTGAGAGAATTAGCCAAGCCTATTTTCACATAGTTTCTTCTTTTCTTGAGTAATTATTTCTAGTCACATTAAATAAAATGGAGGCAATAGATTTTCACATTCTGTTAAATAAAGAGATTGGATGGAGTAGTTAGAATATATTATGTTTGTTAGTAGATTGTTGAATAGATAGCATTCTCTAACACTTTCCATGGTGAAGTTTATAGGTAATTGATGTCATTTCTTGTAGTTCTTTGGCTATCCTCATTTTATTTTCCCTGCCTAGTTCAAATCAATGTATAAACCTTTTTTCTCATTACTGTTTTGGTAACTTATTGAGTTCTGAGAATAAAAATCCTAGCACAATTTAGGTCCAACCACTCATGTATTTTTATGGATCAAAAACTTCATGTGCAATGAATGCCCAATTTTTCTTTAACAAGTTATATGCTACACCCTTATTTTCACTCACTCACCATACCAGAGCATGACTTGATTTTCCTATATAGGTTTTTGCAACCATTCATCTACTAGTGAAGATGTCATATTCATTGAAAATGTTATCTCGCTCACATTTTACTCGACTTTCATCTTCATATAGAGTTGAAATGTTCAGCTCAAGGGTTCTAGCACCTGCTACATATTCCAAGTGGAACTTCCTATATAGGTTTTTCCAGCTGAAATATTCTAGTTGTTATTGAGTATGATATATACCAACACAAGATCAAAATAGTTCTATGTACATGCAATTTAGTAGTTCTATATCTGGTGGTTAAGCAATTCTGAGATTCTGCAGATGAATTTCACCGAGCTCTTCAACAATGGATCGTCCCTTGATGATCTCAATGAACCACATCTGTCATATGATTTTCCATTGAGTCAGTATCATTCCAGTGGTTCTCCTTTTGAAGAGACATATACTATTGAAGCTCACACTGATCAAGAGACGCCACATGCACCTAGCAGCAACAAATCACAAAAACAATCTCAAAGAACTATCAACTTTTCTCCTGAGGAAGACAAACTTGTTATAGCCGCATGGCTAAATACAAGCTTAGATCCAATCAAAGGATCTGATCAAAACAAGAACCAATTCTGGAAAAGAATTACTCGGTACTTTGAAGATCATAAGAGTTGGTCGGAGGAACGAACTGAAAAATCACTGACGAACCGCTGGTCAAAAATAAGCTTCAGTGTGAGTAGGTTTTGTGGACATTATGACCGCTGGTCAAAAATAAGCTTCAGTGTGAGTAGGTTTTGTGGACATTATGCTGCAGTTGAACACTTGCGGAAAAGTGGATACACAGAGGTTGTGGACATTATGCTGCAGTTGAACACTTGCGGAAAAGTGGATACACAGAGGCAGATAAGGTGCACACTATTGTTATCTTCATTATCTTCAAAGCATCCTACTGTTTATTTATATTTTCAAATGTTAGTATTAATGTTGCATTCTCAAATGTTATTTTTCTGTTAGATATTTACATGAGCTATTCTTTGCAGATACAAGAGGCAAAAACGGTCTACAAAGATAAGGAAGGTCATCAGTTTGGATTTGACCATTGTTGGACTCTTCTGAGGTTTCAGTAAAAATGAATGGTTGAACATAAAAAAATTGAAGCAACTAGAATCTTCAAGGCTCCTACTAAAAATAGAACTACAATTAACTTGGAAGATGATAATGGAAATGCTCCTGAACCTGCACCCTTGAAGAGGCCTATTGGAAGAAAGGCTGCAAAAGAAGCGAACAAAAAAGCAAAATCCAACGAGCAAGGTGATGATGATGAGAAGGAATCTTCAAAAGTCCGTTTTGAGTTGGAAGAGTTTAGGGCAAGGAGACTAGAAAGTGACCGCGTAAAGGCAGAACAACTTAAGTTGCTAATTGATATTGAGCAAAAGCAAGTTGCTCTTAGAGAAAAGGAAATTGAACTTCAAGCTCGAAGTGAGGAAACTAAAATAATGTCTATGGATACTAGTTCCATGAATCCTCTTCAAGCAGAGTATTTCATCAGCCTTTAGAGAGAAATTTTGGCAAAAAGAGCTGGTAAGAATGGAAATGAGTAGTCTCTTGTGTCATTACTCCTGGATATTTATGTTATTTCTCTATAATGATACATATTGACTCGTTTTGAGCAGAGACTTGTGTCATGTATTTTGGATTATTTCTTTCTAGCTTTTCAGCTGCTGAATATTTAGAGGGTAGGAAAAGTGTATCTTTTTTTCTCAAGTTTGGGCCTTGAACAATGTTATTGTTAAAGTTCATGTCTAAATCTTTATGCTTGCTGACCATTGTTACTCTTTTTTTATTTTTTTCCTGCAATTGCTCCCAGTAGCAAAGTTCATGGCTATTCACATATCTTAATAACTTTATCTTGAAATTGAACAATGACAGTAGAGTTAGTAACTTTATCTTAACTAAGTATGCTACTACTCAATGAAATTGGTATGATAAGTCTTATGATATATAAATTTTATTATTCATAAATTTAACGACATTACAATGAAGTTGAAACAACATAATATTGATTTATATAAGAAAGCAAATCACTAATTGGCTCCATGTTTTTTCCATAAGTGCTCGATAAGATCTTCTTGGAGTTGAGTATGCATTTGTTTATCTCTAACTCGATGACGATTTGCGATGAACTCCATTATTGTTGGTGTACGCTCGAGTGAAAGTGATATGCGTGGAATTTCATCAACATGGTCATATTCTTTTTTGATATCATGTATCTTCCTTAGTCTACGAATACGCTCATGTTCATCACGCTCGTCTTCGACAATCATATTATGCATAATTATGCATGCCATCATAATATGTTTTAGGTTATCCTTATCCCAAAGTCTTGTCGGGTTTCGGACAATCGCAAAACGTGCTTGAAGCACTCCGAATGCGCGCTCAAAAACTTTCCTTGCCCCTTCTTGCTCTTTAGCAAAATGTCGATGCTTATTTCCTTGTGGAGCTGGAATAGTCTTCACTAATGTTGTCCATGATGGATATATACCATCAGCAAGATAATATCCCATGTCATATGGCCTCCCATTGACTTTATAGCTAATATGAGGGGCACTACCTTCATCCAATCCACTAAATACATAAGACCCCTCTAACACATTGATGTCATTAAGAGACCCAGGTAATCCAAAGAAAGCATGTCATATCCACAAATCATATGAAGTTACAGCTTCTAAAATAATAGTGGGTTCATGCATGTGGCCAGTAAACATACCATGCCAAGAAGTAGGGCAATTCTTCCATGTCCAATGCATACAATCAATGCTTCCAAGCATCTCAGGAAAACCGCGTCGTTCACCTATTGCAAGTAATCTCTTAAGGTCATCACTATGTGGCGACCTTAAGTACTCATCACCAAACACTTCGACAACTGCTGTGACGAACTTTTTTAGACTTTCAATAGCGGTGCTTTCCCCTATCTGCACATATTCATCAACATAATCGGTTGGAACACCATATGCAAGTTGTTGAAAAGCAACTGTTACCTTCTGAAGTGATGACAAGCCAAGACGCCCAGCAGCATTTCCTCTTTTGAACAAAATAAGTATCGTGCGCGACGACGGCATCATGAATGCGCATGAAAAGAGCTTGCTTCATTCTGAATCTCCTTCAAAAGAGACGAGCCCCATATTTTGGAGGATTGGCAAAGTAGTCACGACAAAGTCTTTCATGACCCTCAATTAGATCACGATTAACAATACGGTGACCCATAATAGAACCATGATGACCTCCTCTAGAACTCTGGTTGGCATGACCTTTTTCTTCTATTTGAGCAAGTAACAATTCTTCATATTCGTCGTCAATATTGTCGTCGTCATCCATGAACGTATCAACTAGATAACGACTAGCCAACGAACGACGAGCCATAAAATATATTTTCAAAGTGAGAAAAAGATGAGGAAGCAAAGAATGTGAGAATGAGATAACAAAAGTGACCAGATTTGTTCTTATATATATAGATAAAAAATAGAAGTCAACTAGTCGTTTTAAATTAGACGTTAGAAACTAGCCGTTGGAAACTAGCCGTTATTTCGAAGTTTCAAATAAAAAATAATTTATTATTTATTAGTCAAAGATGTAGAATATTTTTATTATTGTAATAAATGCAAGATTTTTCAAAATGGGGAAGATGTTGGAGTTGGAGCAAAAATAATTTGGAGAATATGACTTTTGTTTTCCCATTTTGGAGAAATTTATGGGGAAGCTGTTGGAGATGCTCTAAGTGACCTAGATACAATCAACGTAATTTTAGTAAGATTATCAATACATATAATCACTTACATTCACCAGAATAAATGCTCATACGAGAGATTCAGAATATTACATATATGTTAATTTTCCTAAAAATTGATGGCATTAACATGGATAATTGGTCATTATCACCAGTAATCTTTCCAATGACTTGATATCGCATGTTTTGCGTTGTAGTTGGATGCAAGAGGTCTTCCAAACCAAAGGTACCTAAGCCGCATAATACCAGTTTTCTTAATTGCATGAGGGGCAAAACACGAGGGAGAAAAGGGGGGAGAGGGGGGAGGGGTGTTGGGTTAAGGGACTTCCATTATCCCCTCTTCTCCTTTCTTCCTTAAATTTGGTTGAACTTACTCCTTCTATTTTGAAGAAAAGATGAACACCTTTCTCGCCATCATTTTATTCCATCTTCCCCCATTTGGTTCAAAGCCTAGTTCTCTCCTAACTTTGTCACCTTTTTCTCCCAATATGGGCCTGATTCAAATTCTTCTGGTTGTATGCTCACTTCTTTCTACTTTGATGACAACACCTTGTTCTCTATCATTGAATCACAACTCTACTTGGGCTTGTAAAATTGGCAAACTTACAACCTTACTTTTAGAGTAAACTTCAAGAGACTTAAATACCATGTACTAGACACAGTCAACAAAACAAGTCATATGGCAGGTTGCCTCTGAATCAAGTAGACAAGTGCATCACAAGTACTCTTCAAGAGAGTGAGAAAGGGGAAGAATTGGGGTACAGAACTATTATTGAAAGCATACTAGTAAAGAGCCTCGCAAATGCACTCAGCAAATCTAGAAACATCTGAGAACCAACACATTGCTACTAACGGAAAAGAACCGACAGCAAGACAGCTGCCGAAGCATGCCACAAGGCCATTGCTATATAAGCCAGGAACATGTTTAATTTTCCGCTAAACTGTCGAGATAAACAATTGAAATTAACCGACTACCACGTATACAGATATTTCCTCAAAAAAACATATATACAGATATTAAACATAGAATAGTAAACTCTGTAGGGGGAAAAAAAGACGACCACTTCTTTCTGACTGAATTTCTTCAAGTCCTGAAAGCGATGAATATCTTGTTGAATTCCCGCAAGTGGGTTGACCACATTAATAGTTGACAAAGTCAATTCAGCTTTCGACTATAAATGCAAAGTGTCTGGTCAAAGCCCATGGCTGACTGGGTAATTCATTTTCCACAATTAATGGCTATGGACAAAGTAGAGAATCTATCAAGTTAAACTTACCTTAAAGAAATATGCATGCAAGTTGCAACTTATTTAACAAAGAAATAATAAACAGAAAACACACCTGAAATCCAGTATCAGCATGTCGTATTGCATAATCAAGGCCAGCAACTTGAGCATCATAAGCTGAAGTTAAAAAAAAACAAAGTTCATAAGCTTATCAGTTATATAACAAGAAATAATAAAGCTCAGCCCAGGATGAGCATCAGTTAAAATTGTATGTTAGAAATGATGCAGAACGAAGGCGATGATGAATAGCCGAGTAAACAGTATATGTGAACAGTAAATTTTCTCTTTTCATTTTTTAGTCAGTAAAAGACCAAATAAAGAAAAATAAAAGAAAAATAGACCAGACCAGATTGACTCACACTATCTAACCTCTGAAAATGAGGGAAATGGCCAGTTTGACACGCGGATGCCTAATCAGAAAACATGGCTTCATGCCTTGAGAAATCACTCCACAATTTCCCCAAACTCAAAACTTATATTCATATCAATCTTCCATCTTCAAAGGAAGCAATGCATCGTTATTTATAGGATAATATTCTAATCAAATCAAACAAACTTCTAAGTTCTAACTGAAAAAGATAACAAAAATCATATCTAATTATTCTAACTAATAGATAGAACTAAGTAACAATTTCAACTAAAACATCTTAACTAAAATGAAATCAAATCCCTACAAGAAAATTAAATCCTAAAAACTAATCCTCAACATCCTGCATCAAATCTCCTCCAAGTTGAGAAATTCGCTTCGAGTTAATTTGGATGGCATTGACGGACTTTGAACTGCTTCATTGTTGATGTTGAAGTTGAAACGGTGGATCTTTCGGCTTTGATACCAAACGATGCGGAATGGAGGTGGTGCCGTTCGCAGGGAGACGCAAGGGATGTCGTGAACGGTGGGAGGTCAAAGAAAGAGAATTGACCTATTCATAGAGTGATCTATGATCTATAAGAATACTGTAAACAGTAACTTTTCTCTTTTTAATTTTTTTGTAATACCAAATAAAGAAAGATAAAAGATAAATATGAGAGACGTGATTCATCCGCAACATCTAGCCTCTAAAATGATGGAGAAGACCGGTTTCACAGACGGAAACCTAATAAAATAAACATGGCTTCACGCCTTGAGTCGTCGCTCCAATTTTTCTCCAACCTAAACTTTTATTCATTAGTTTTTCATATTCAAATTAAGCAATACATCATCATTTATAGGATAAAATCCTAATCAAATCAAACAAACTCCTAACTAAAAGTTAAAAAAACCGTATCTATATATGAAAATAAATAATAATTCCAACTAAAATATCTTAACTAAAAAAATAAAATCCTTATAAGCAAACTAAAGGAGAAATTAAAAAAAATAACTATTTTTTAAATTTAATTATAGAAACCGACCTAGTTAGAATTTGTTTAGGGGTTGTTTGGTTCGTTTCCTAGATATAGGGAAATGCATTTCCATGTACAAAAACACAAGTTTTGAGTTTTCCAAACTTTTCCAAGAAATAGATTGTTTCGCTTTGGTTCGCACAAAAAAAATGGTGGGAAACCAATGTATTTATTTTTCTTGTGTTTGGTTCGCATGGAAAAAAAGGGAAACTTTTGTTTATATGGTAAAAAGCTGACGTGGCTGCAGTTTTCGTCGATTTCATGAGGTTGAGGAAAAAATTGGGGGAGAGAAAAAAATCTGATGTGGCGACGATTTTCACCTAGTTTCCCTTCTTCAACCCTAGTGAACCAAAGATGAGAAAAAAAACCGACAAAAAACTTATATCCTACGTGGCCACGAAAAATCTGATATGGAGGCGGTGTAAAACTTTTCTACCGAGTTAAAAAACGAACCAAACAGCCCCTTAGCAAAAACAACCTGTTATTGTCCATGTTAGCAGCATCAATAAAAAAAATTAGTTGTTTTTGAAATTTGATTCTTTTCATTTATGGGAGTGGCAAATCCAGCTAATTAAAGATTAAATAACAAACTAGTCGTGACTGCCACTCCAATTTGTTGCTGCTATACACAGTTACAAGTAGGACCCACCCTCAAATCCCAGCTTCTATCCAGAATAAATTATGATTAAGGGTGATAATTTATAGCATAGTAGTTGGATAAACCTAAATTACGGTAAAATGATAAGTGAAAACTTTAACTAATTATATAGTTATAGTATTTAATTACCCGTGGGCCGTGATTGTCAATCCCGATTCCTGAGTAATTAAATACTCAAGATTTGGAAATCGGTCAAGTTCTGGTCAATGTGCTGACGTGGCAGAAAAAACAAGGTTGTTTTTTGCTAAATAAATGCAAAAGTTGTCAGCTTTCACAATTACATTTAAAAAATAGCCTCCTTTAAAAAATTTTGCAAAACTAAATCCTAAAATCTAATCCTCAATGTCCTGCATCAAATCTCCCCTGCTTTGAGAAACTCACCACGAGTCTAAATTTAGATGGCATTGACGGACTTTGAAGTGCTTCATTGATGATGTCAAGTTGAAATGGTGGATCTTAAGGCTCTGATACCAAATGATGCGGAACGGACGTGATGATGAATAGTGTTCGGTTTGAACAGTACCCATGAGTAATACCTTTCTCTTTTTAATTTTTTATAGTCAATAAAAGACCAAATAAAGAAAGATAAAAGATAATTAGGCTAAGTCAAATTCACTCGCAGCATCTGACCTCTGAAAACAGAGGAAAAGTCGCACATGGAGGCCTAATAAAAAAAACATGGCTTCACGCCATGAAGAATCATTCCACAATTTCTCCAAACTAAATTTTTTTTTTTTTCATATCAATTTTCCATCTTCAAAGGAAGCAATACATCAGTTATTTATAGGATAAAATCCTAATCAAATCAAACGAACTTCTTACAGAAAAAGATAACCAAAATAATATCTAATTATTGACTATTCTAACATATAAAACTAATGAACGATTCCAACTAAAACATCTTAACTAAAATGAAATCAAATCCTTACAAGAAAACTAAATCCTAAAAACCTAATCTTCAACGCCCTGCATCAAGAAAGATACAAGGGACAGAAATATGCGTGATGACAAAATGTTTCTCACGAGCTAACCTGAAGAGCAAGAAAAACATGTAACTAGTGTCCTATCCATAATTGTATGAGAAGTTTGAATAATATAAATAGAGTTGCAAAGACAAACATCTAAAGGAAAACATATATTTTACTAGTATATTATAATACAGAAATATATAACTATAAAATGAATCAGCAGCAGTGCAAGATTTTTTTTTTGTTCAGGTGGGCCAAATTACAAACATCGCACTATATGTCAACCAAGAAGTGATCAAATATGACAAAATATAATAATTTTTTATATATGTAAGTAGGTAAAATAGGAACATAGATTTACAAAAAGATATTTTCATGAATACTTAAATCATTTCGACAAATCCACCGATCATTGAATCATAGTGCTTCAATCTTCTAAAGTTTCTTCTCTAAAATGTACCAACTATAGTAGATTTTCGCATAATTACAAACTACAAAATGCCAAACCATAATACTATAGCAATCATTTTGATTGCAAGTCATACTTGCAAATCGTGGAAAATGAGTCTGAGAAGAAGAAAGGGAAAAAAATAAAAGAAAGCTTTTTTTTTTTAATTGGGGATGATGCAATGTTATATTAACTAATTTGTTTGTTGGGTCAACATTCTCATCTGCAGGTCGGTCACTTAGGCAATTAGTCGTTTTCATCCATAGGGCCACAACTCTTTGTTTCACAATTCTGAGATTACTTCCTTCAATCACGAATAGATGCAGCAATCAGAGGGATTATTTTGAAAAAACTCATAAGAATTTGGGGATCTAATTGTAATTTCAATGATTTGAGGGATTGATTTCAAAATTACTTAAGAATGCAAGAACCTAATAGAAATTTCAATACATTTACAGACTAATTACAAAATATGAAAGATTTAAGAGACTAATATAATATTAATAATAATAATGAACCAAACAATATATGCGCATAACCATTTATGAGAACCAGAATCAGAAGGATGCAACTTTCATGTACAGATATTTTGTTTTGTTTTTTGATATCCTTATAATTAGAGTTCGGATTGAAAGAGTGAAACACTAACATATGAAGGTATGGACAACAAATTGGAGTCTTTCTGCATATGAAAATATAATGATTTACTAGTCAATCTAGTCATTAAAATAAATGAAACAGTAAAGGTTAACAGACATGACATTGGTCAGTAGTTATGCGTGAGGGTTCAAGCAACCCACTGCATTCATCATTGTAATACTGACTAACAGTTATCAGTATCACACTTCAGATACAATTATTCCTCAATGACAGAGCCCATCGAGACTAGTCACCATTGCACCCATTTACCAAACAATGCTCCAGCCTTTCAGGCTCCTGCTTCACTCTATCATTGTAAGTACTGATGAAAATAAGTTCAAGGAATACACAGATAACAAAGGATACACACACATTGAGAGAGAGAGAGATGAGCTAGGTTGCTATTAAAAGTCTCCAATATGCGGATGCTATCAACCCAATTTTTAAATTAAAAACCTAAAAATGGAAATCCAAACCAGTGACTGTGATCTACTACGCATGAACTATCTAAAAACAAACTTTCAAAAGATTCCAACATCATTTAACTCATGTACAATAATTCATCAAAATTTACAATTTAGAATTTCTATAAAGGTGCTTAATTTTTTTCACTTGATATATGATTCAAAACCCATCGAAATCCTTTGAAATTTTATTTCCAGGTAGTTCATGTGTAGTAGATCATATCCGCCGGTTTGGATTTTCATTTTTTGGTTCCGAATTTAAAAGTCCGTTTGATACTATCTGCGGATCTACTACATATCCACCAATTTGGATTTTCATTTTTGGTTTTCGAATTGAAAATTTGGATTGATAGTATCTACATACTGGATAATATTAGCAGCAGTAATAGTATATGCGTAGGTGTGTGGGTGTCCTGTTATAACATTCCTCAGAGTTAAAGCAAAGTCACATAGCAAACATCTTTTCTAGACTTCTTAGTTAAAAAAATTTAAACTGGACATTCCTCTAGCTAACTGCCTCAATACTTTGAATAACCTGACTTTTTTTATTGTTTTCTAAACTACAAATCCAACACCAACTCATAAAGGAGAGCCATAGGTTGACAACTAGCAAAAGACTTAGTCACTACTCATGTGAAGCTTTTCACACTATCAACCATGGTCTATAGGCTTATAACTGACTCCATTTTGTTGTAAATCTATCAGATAATGATATGAAAGCAGCACAGGTGTCAAACGTACAGAAAGGTAAAGCAAGGAAAAAGATTGTACAACCTTCCCAAACTTTGAAATTGCAAATGGGTTGATGTTTGATAAAAATGCCAAACATATAAAAAAAAAGAAACAAATGACGGATTTTAACAACCATGTAATAGTCTAAATATATGATCTTGGGCCAAGTCAGAAAAAAAAGTTACAAAATATATAATTATCACATAAATATAATGCAAGGGAAGAAAGTGATTACTTATTGTGTCCATGATTGACATGATTGAGAAATCATAAATATAATGCAAGGGAAGAAAGTGATTACTTATTGTGTCCATGATTGAGAAATCAAGAGGATGTAAAAGGCACAATCAAGAGGATAGAGTGCAGATGTTTGCAGCCCAGGCTAGACAGATCATCATTGTAGACAATCTAGTTGAGATATGATGCAAAAGGCACAATGCTGCGATAGGCAACCTTTTAGGCCTATCAACGTTGTAGGTAGCTTAGATGTCAAGAGAAGAGTATGGTGTTGCCTAATTTCTGTCCATAAACAAGATTTGTAAAATATTGCATGTGTATCATAAACTTTTAGTTTGGACACCATCTTGTTTTATGAATGGTTTTAGTAGCATAAATTATTGAACATGCACTTTGCACTGAGCATGAGAAAAACTCATACCAAAATAAACAATATTTACAATTAGAAGAAAATTTCAATATAGACTAACTACCACATTTTATCACAAAAATCGACCCTCTTTTTTTTATTAGCGAAATCAACCAAGTTTCTACCACGTCAGCTTCGTGGCCAAAAACTGGGTCGATTTCTAAAAAAACGCATCTGGTTGACAACCCCGACTAATTAGTATGTGCTCGAGAACCCGATTCAAGTCTCTGCAAAAAATTGGCGAGGTTGCCAAATCGGATCGAAATTATTAGGTTTGGCAACCTGGACAATTTTTTCCGTGCTGAATTGGTCGCGGTTAGGTAATTTCAAGCTCCAATTGGTTGGTCCCCAAATAGGGGGTTGGCAACCCTGACTATTTGGCGGAGACTTTTAAAATTAGTCCCCCAAATAATCAGGGTTGGCAACCCTGACCATTTTGGTTGGCAAACTCTTAGAGCTGCTTCTAATTAGTCGGGGTTGCCAACCCCGACTAATTAGAAGTTTATTTTTTTTAAAACGATCCACTTTCTGTCAATGATGCTAATATGACCAAAAACTGGGTCGATTTCACTAATAAAAGTGAAATAGATTGAATTTTGGGAATAAATTAGGGAATGAGATTGTTTTGAAAATTTCTCCTTTAAAATTAACGTGGCTTGAGGAATCCTGCCTGAGGACGTGAGCCAACCCTTGCAGTCTAGTTTATCCAGTCGGCATATTGGTAATAAAGTGGTTTAACTTAAAAGAGACTTTGTAGTGCGTAGGTTTGAGTAGGACTTTATCACGAGAAAGAGTTTTTTTAAGTTGATATATAGTTTGGATTTAGTGGTCTAGATATTAATAACTAAACAAATGATGAGTTTAAAATGAAAAGGTATTACAGGGACATATTTGAAAATAGAGGAGGGTGAGCTTTGCGCAATGATATGGTTTCCGCCTTGTGACAAGGAGGTCACAGATTCAAATCTTGGAAAGAGTCTCTCCGCATGCGAGGGGAAGTTGTGTACATCTGACCCTCTCCAGACACCACAATAGTAGGAGCCGCGTGCACTAAGCCACTTTTATATTAGGACATATAAATATGTTGGAAATATAGGAGTTAGTCTTAGCAAGTCCTCTTGTTAAGAGGACTTGTGGTGAGCCAACACGC